TTTCTCTTAATAAACCTAACTAAAATGACGATTTAACGAAGTAAAAGGCTTTCGCAGCATTCAATAAACTGAACGAATCAAAGTGGTGTTACTAAATATACGCTCAATCACCAGGTCAAATTTCATTATGAACGTTGCATGGTCCTTGGCGACTACTGTAATGTGCCTGGTATACCCTTAGTCCCAGCATTTGTTTCCTACAATACGGTGGGTATAGGGGGTTTTGGAAGTTGGTATGTAGGATAAGCAGTGAAGAAAATTTGTAGAATTAAGTGTAGCATAGAAAAACATTATTGAATTTATTTCCTCCCGCTGCTGTGTGTATGCTGTTCCGCATGTAAATTGAAGGTATGCGCGTGCCTCGGTGCCGTGGACCATCTGATCTAAATTGAAACATTGTTTTCTAATCTAACTCGAGAGCGGTAACTTGGACCTCGGGTAAGTTGAAGTAGATGACCTCCTAACGACCATTTGTATCCTTTCAGGAATTCAAAGAAACCTGCAATTTTACAATCGGGTTTTTCTGCAATACTTTAAACGATAATACAGATTGGGAAAACCTGCAGATATAAATCAACAGCATTTCTAAAGACAATGAAATAAAACTTCTGACAGCAGTCATTAAAATATATTCTACTGCTCGTCTTAATTCCCTTTACATAAAACGCTTATAAATACCGTTTCCTTAGAACAAAATGATGGGACTAGAAGTACATGAGATGTACTACATAAACTACTGTGGCCGAGACTTTTTAAAATAAAACAAAACATATTCTTCATTTAAGTATGAAATTTGCAGAGGGCGTAATTTTTTACCGAAATAGTACAAGAAAGGATACGTGTATGAATGTTTTCTATAAAACATATTTGAATTTTTGAGGACAGGCAAAATCAATGAGTTAAATGCATACTACACAACGAGTCATTTTTTTACAGAAAATTATTATTCTATGTAGTCAGAAAGAAACTACTTAAAGGCTGTACGATAATCAGTATAACAACCATACTTAATACCCTTTTTGCGAGCGATTTTCAACCTTTGGCATATTTCGGAATCTCACATGAAATACCGGCCATACCGTATTCATGAGTGTCTGGTTGGCTCTTTAAACCTAGTAGTGGCGGGAGGGAAAAGCGTTTAACAAAGAAATACAACCATATGTGTGGACTAAAACTTCATGGACTCAGCCATGCAAATTATCAACTAGGAATCTATAAATCCGCAACGCTGTCATGTAAAAATGGTTTTAAACAAGTTTATAAAATTTTCATCCAAAAATTCAGAAGAGCGGTTGTCGAGCGTTTGATATCTTCTCATTCACTAGCAGTGTCTTTCTCCTCCCCCGCTGGAAAGGCACCAAGTAGCCCTCAATGCCGCTCAACTTTTCATCTCTTATTACCCACCCCGCCCACAAGTCCCTCGTATGGAAAGACGAATAATTTCGATCGAATGTTTTAAACTGTACCCTGTTCCTATGGAAACGCACTAGCTGTTAGGACGGTAGCCTGACTAAAGGCTAGCAACCTCGTCGGCTCTCCTAAGGCGTCATGCCTGCCGCCCACCGCCACAATGATTTCTTTGTTCGAAAGCGTTCGCTGGGCTGGACCCAATCAATGACCTTAGACCGGACGTGCATGCACGTGCCAACTGGTCGCAGTTATCCCAATGCGCTGTTAGGATTATTCCTAAAGAGTGGCCCGGATGAACTCTCAGGTCACTCTATTGGTTCGCCCCTACAGATGGGCGCGCACAGCCATGCGCGGGCAGCCAATGCGGTTAATCAGGCCACAAGTGAACATGCAGACAATCTATTATAAGCTACTGTCACCCCAGACACAGGAGAGTTGCATCACACACCAGATAGCGAGGACACGCTAGTCTGCGCTCAATGCCGGGCTTACCCCCGAGGCGGGACAAAGAGCACGCTGGAGATCAACCCAGCGAGGCAACAGCCACCCGAGACAGCAACTCCGGGTTTCGTACACAATAAACCCTCTTCCAGGTGGATTTCAGAAGGATGCCCTTCTTATTGTGTTCTTTCTTGGGGATTTCAACAGAGCGTAATTCGAC